TGTCAGCCATAATTAAACATTACCTGTTAACAGAACTCTAATTGTTTCTGCTTAGATTTCTTCAGGTTTCTTCCGAAACATGCAGCAGCTCTTAATCTAATTTTTAACTCTTAATCTAATCTAACTCTGCTGTTCCAAACCAATTCATCATATTAAATGGGGACCACAATGCCAAGCATCCTATTCCTGTGTCATTTTGGGATCCTTTCCCTGCTGCCACAGAAATCTCACAGAAAAAAGAACTGGTTCAACAGGTAACTCCCTTCTTTTAGCAGCATTGTCCAAGACAGAAGGCAAGTTTCACCTCCCAACACTATGACACATTTGATTTCTTCCTTTACAGAGTTTTTCACATAGATCTTTTACAGTGACCACTCATCAGATTCTGAGTTAAACGAAAGAGGAAAACTTTGAAAAACATTTTGTTTATGATAATGCAGAACACAATCTCAATTCACAGAACTTGTATAAAAGAATGGAAAACCAGTGTGATCTATATTTCAGTCCAGTTCAGCCCAGAGAAGTTGTGGATGCCCCATGCCTGGAACTGTTCAATAGTATAGCTATCAAGGCATAGCTGGTGTCTCTGCAGGGAGCTGGAACTTGAAAATCATTAAGATGTCTTCCAACTCAAAACATTATAGGATTCTATGATATGTTAAATTTAGATGTTTTCATGTTCATACATGTAACAGATTCCTCTTAGCTTGAATCAACCTGCTTTCAGATTGTAAACCTGCTTTCAGACTGTTCAATAGCATCAGACATAGAGAGAGATCTGGAAAAAAAATTTAAACCAATTTTAAAAAAAGAATAATAAGAATGAAATACTAAATTTTCATCTACCATTTGAAAAGACCAATTTTTTCCTCATAGAAATTAACATTTTGGAATCTAATTTCTGAAAATACTGGAAATCTCTAAAATGAAAACAAGGTCGAGTTTCATCTTAGTCTGGAAATTACTCAGCTCCAAAATTATGCCAAAAGCAGTCATTGGTCTCTTAAAAATAATTGTCTGTGAGTAAAACCTTTCTCTTAATAAATTAAGATTGTACAACCTGTACAAAACTAATATATTTATTCCATTTGTGTCTTACTCAAAAAAAAATCACAAAATAGAAAGTGGGTTTATTTTATTTATTTGGAGTGACTTCAGGTCTCAAAGGATGACTTTGGAGACATTCAATACCATACAGCATCAAAACAGAAGAATGTTTTTCAGGATTTCATTGCATTTTATTTTTTTAAAAAGTAACACACTATTGTCTTACTTCATCAGATTTCTTCTGTTCATCCTTTTATATATATAAAAAGGAATGAACTTTAAAAAGTTGAGAAGGAAAGCTTTTACACAAGCTACACTGCTTATTTCTGCCCATTGGCCTGATAAGCTGTTTCAAGATATTCTTTCAATCAGTTTTAGAAGAAGTCAAATGGGATAAAGCACAGTTTCACGGATCATATCCAGATAAAAATAAATACACAGAGGCTAGCATCCCTATCTGACCACATTTTATCAGCTTGAACAGCAAAGAGATTTTGGATGTAAAGGCACCTTGATAAAGGTGACTGATCAATTCAGACTTTATAAAACAGGACTCTTTTCAAAACATGACACTTTCAGTACAACAACCAAAACCAATGCTCCAACAAAACAGTTTCTATAATACATCTTCTTTGGGAAAAAAAAAAAAAAAAAAAAAAAAAAAAAAAAAAAAAAAAAGATTGCTTGAGATTTTCAACATCACAAGAAATATTGGCTCATCCTTCAGTGGATGGAATAGATGGAATATAATACAGATGGAATATAAAATTGGGAAGCCAAAGCAGAAAGAATCCTGTAGTTAAAGCACAGATGGATAGAGATAACAAAACGCTGTTCCCTCAACTATGAAACCACTCTTTTGTTGATTGGAAGTGTTACAGTTATGATGAATCATGACTCAATCCCAGGAAGCAAGCTGAGCAGGCATGAGTTTAAAGCTGGATTTCAAAATCTCCTGTAGCTAAAAAAGCACACATTGCAAAGCTTCACTCTTCTCCTACTGCATATTATTTTGACTGGGTTGTGAACCTGTAGGCCAGGATCATTTGCCTTTTCTAGGTGTCTGTTCATCTTCAAGAACAACTGGCAGTTTTCTTTACAGGGTGATGTCCTGAGTTTATCAGCAAATACAACAAATGACCATAATAACATGAGCAGATTATTTACATGTACTATTTCTTCTTCCTCTCCCAGAAACTTAATAAACCATTTTGGTTATTACTTATGAATATTGCATGAATATTACACTAGAAATACTGTTCACACTGCTGAATATCTTCCATATGTAACAAAAAAATTTAAAGCCCACTCTGCTTAGACTTTCAGTCCAGATGGCACAGATTAAATCACATGCTCTTTTATGACACATTAGTCATAAGGCAGTGACATGCAGAATATATGGTGAAAGCCTAATCTTTAGGTGTAAGAAATGGCCATCAAAAAGACAACTAAAAATTGGGGCAAATTTCCATAAGCTGAAGTGATGGGCTTTTTTAAAGTTTGACTTCCAATAAAATAATTCATTTTTGTACCGTATGCTTTTCTGGTTGTCATTTCTCTAATCTGAGCATGAATGCTGACCCATCCATTATGAAAATAAGAGTAGAAATTATTGCTGAATTCAATAAGTAGTTGTCTCCCATCATGTACAGGGTAGCTAGCGTTGGAGCTTTGCTGAGCTCCTCTTGCAGGCCCTAATCTCACTGCTGTGACTCCAAGAGCTCCAAAAGGCAGGTCAGTGACTCAGACAAGCTCCTACCCACCACGTGCTAGACCTAGGATGAAAAAATCCTGACACTGGAACAATGAGCAGCTGATGTGTTTCAAGAGTTTCAGAGGAATTCGATTAGCTGGACTAAAGTACTTACTTTTAGGAAGGAAAAATGGCACTTTGATTCATGTGTGCAGGCTTGGAAGGACTTTGATTATGTTTAATTAGATCAACAAAACAAGATTTAGTCACGAACTACTGAAGAACATTTATATTTTTGGTATTTTGGATATTTTGGCTTCATCACCCTTTGTTCCCCCTTCTCTCTTCCACTTCTTATAAATGTTGAATGATTCTCCATTCATTTTGCTAAAATGAAGCTGTTCTGTTTGTTATTCTCTGTCTTTTCTGAGTATATTGAAACACAAACCTGCAGGAGGAAATGTCATTTGGAAAGAGAAAGTTCTTACAGACGATGGAAGAAAAAAACATTGTGTTCTCTATTTTGTCATTCCTCTTCATTTTTCATCTTCATTTTTCTTCCTTTCTTATGGAGATACACATAAAACTTTTGTAAATAGCTTCAGGAAACCATTCATCCCTGGGCTAGACCAGCACCACAGGTAAATCAGGAGATAGAGAAAGATTTGAAGGATGTCAGAGCACAGAACCAAAACAGGAACCAGCTGGAAGGAGAAAGATTAAAGTTTCTTTCAGAAACATAGTCTGGATCATGCTGGAGAAGAACCTGGTAGACATGGATATTTTTAATGGAAAAGCATGCCTTTTTCAAAAGTTAATATTAGGATGAGGCACTGGAAAATGTTTTCAATAGAAGTCATGGATGCCCCATCCCTGGAACTGTTTAAAACCAGGTCAGATGAAGCTCTGAGCAACTTGGTCTAGTGGAGGGTGTCCCTGTCCTTGACAGGGAGTTTAGGAAAAGTCTCTTCCAACCCAGGCTGTTCTATGACATTATTCTATGATCTATTTTAAAACTGATGCATGAGTCCAGTCTCATGTGATGGTTTGTGAGGTACTGCCCTGGGAATGTTTACAGAAGGTTGTGAAGGATTCAAATGTACTTCCTCAGCGCCACATAATTTTTCTGTTGCTTAGGAAAAACTGGGTTCCAGAAGTAAAATTACCAGACAAGATACCTAAATTCATAGAACAGGAAAATGGTGCATAAAGATGCTTTTGAACAGCAGGGTGCAACTCCACTGCAGGAGGATAAAGACACAATACTGTAGGACTTTGGTTTGAGCATTACAAAGATGGGCTACATCCAAACCTGGGTGAGATGAATGCTGTGATCATAGGCAACTCACTGCTCAAACCACAGAGATCCATCAGACAGACAGCTGTCTCTCTGTCTGGGAACAGCACTGAACAATTCACTGCAGCAGTGCCAAAGCCCTTTGGAAATCACCTCCTGAAGCAAAGTTAGGGATAGCTGCACATATCGCCATGTTGGTGGTTATCATCAGGAGCTGAGGAGCTTGCAAAAGCTGAGAACCCTCCTGCCACTCCCCTGCCACAGGCTGTTGGGCAGATATAAAAGCAGAGGAGATGCTTTGTAAAGCCGCATGAATTTTCTTTTCTGACCAAGTGAGCCACCCTGTGGTGTAAAGTTCTAGTATGCATTGTCATTGAAATTATTATTTTCTCATTGAAATGAAATTATTTTATGAACAGTTCTGGGACAAGAGTAGAATAGAATGAAATAAATGTATTTGCCATCAAGTTTTATGCAGCAGAAAAAGGCACTTGCAATTTATAAAATATATATATCTATTTCCCAGGCAGTACAGCTCTCCAGCTATTCCCAGGATATCTACTTGGTGTACCTTTAAATGTTATATTACCAAAATATGAGAAAGAAAAGACATAAGTCTCAGGTACATAGAGGCTACATTCTATTTTTGGTGTTATAGTGAGGTAAATCAGAAGTCAGCCCAGTGAAGAAAATTGCTCTCAGATACACTCATATTAAGCTGAAAACAGAGCACAGCCCTTGAAATGCAGTTATATAATGTCTGGAGAACAGATTCTGGTGGAATAAATGATCTCTGAAATGCTACCAGATAATTAAGCTGAAGTCAAAGCCCAAACCTAAAGCTCATTGCTGCATATTAATTTAGTAAAAGAGATTATTCATGCTTTGGAGGTTACCTTTTCTTTTGGGAAAAGCAGGTATGTCCTTAAGGAAGTTTTGACTGGATTTCACTTGCTTATTTTAAATTGAAAATCCTCAAGATGAGCCAAGAGAACTTGATAGCTGATAAACATCTGAGACCAAGGGGGAAACATCACAACGTATCATCAATATTTTTAGTTCCCCATGAATGATTTACATTCCCCTGCACTATCAGATATTTTCAAAAGAACATATCAAAACTGGAGAGCAGTGCACTTGGTTCATGTAACGTTAAATTTGCTGCAAAAAGCCCTATGAATTCAAAGCTCTGAGATCAAGTTCTGATTTCTGATGTTGGGCACACGCTTGCAGTCTGGCTTTGAAAAGTTTCAGTGGGTCTGGGGAATTTTAAGGCTCTGTGATGATATGACTACAGGCAAGTCCCCACTGAGCTCTGGTGCACAGCATTAAAACAGAACCCACGTCTCTGGGAGTGACTGGCACAAATATCTGCTCTTTTCTGCTGCCTAAGCACAGGGGAGCTAAGCCTCTGCCATCAGGGGGCTGGCACGCCATCCCAACTCAAGACATGGCTAGCACTCAACTCTCCCAAAGGAAGCTGGGACCACTGGTTTTCAGGTCAGTCTGGGCAACCTCTCTTAGTGCATGCTGTAAGAAATAGCAATAGTTTTTTTTTCTCCTACTTTTTTTTTTTTTTTTTTTTTTTTTTTTTATAACTTTCCATATTGGAGCAAGCTAAGAATACTGAATGGCAAAATCCTATCTTTTTATAGCAAAAGCTATTCTTAGCTGTTTGGTGAGAGGACAACTGAAATTCAATAATATGCCCAAAATCACGGAGTACATTGCAGAAATTGACTCCAAAGATCTTAGTAAACAGCATACTGGTGACTTGCCCTTGACATGTTCTTACCTATTGCAGTGCACACTGAATCAAGGCTATTTTCACCAGTGGATCATCATTCCTCATTATAGTTACTGCAAAGTGGTGGGTTTGGAATCTATCAGAGAATATATAAATAGACCAAGAATGCATGGTGATGAAGGCATGAGCATGCAACATTTTACAGAATCCCTGCAGAAAGAACACTTGATTACAGAAGTGTTTTGAAATTTCTTAATACTTAAAAATTTTTATTTGTGTTTTCCTTTCACCTGCTCTTGATTCAGATGCTGAAGTGCTGCAGGCAACCTCCAATTATTGAGCATTTTAATAAAAAATAAAGCAGCATCATCATCTTTTCTGTCCTACAATGAGCTCCGAGATCCTCTGCTTCAATAGATGGCCAGTAAAGGGGTGAGTGAGCACTCTCAGAACAGAACTAGGAGTTTTCCTTCTGCCAGATACATGGGGTCCATGGAATATTTTCTATAAATGCACATTTCCATGTGTGTATGTAAAATCTACAAAGCAAGTAGCATAACCCAGTATAATCCTCACTTCATTGTTGCAGGACTTCAGTGAATAACTGCTAAAAATGGAAGGAGAACATGCAATCATCTGAGAACAAATAAACTATTTTTAAGAATGCAGTGAAAAATAGCTTTAATATTCAGCACAGCTTAATGAATTGAAGACACTTTTCTACTCAGTCTCTATCAAGCTGGAACATTTTTTTCTTTGCAGCTAAATGAAAGTCCTTCATTCTCTTTTGAAAGCTGTTGCATATACTGGCATTGTAACAGTAAGAGTTACACTGGCTTTTGTTATAGTATGGCTGTCATGCACAAAGGTCTTAGTTACAGTGGCATTTAACAAGATAAATTTACTCTCTGTAGAAAGAATTTTGGCTAAATCGTATTCAGCAAGGAAGAACTCACATCTGATGCCCCTTTTAATAAAAGACAAAACATTCTCAGATCGGGCTGGTCTTAATGTGGCTGTGTCATTAGAGAAAAATAGTCTGTCTATTATTTAGATGACTCATCAAAATGTTTTCTCACTATTTACTTCTGTGTCAGGAAACTTTTAAGGAAAATATATTTTCAGAACATTCAATAAATTTGATTAATAGATCTGAGGATTTTTTCTCTGATGCTTATCTTCTCTTATAGCCACTGATACAGCAGTACACAGTTCTGCAGCCCCCCTCACCACTGGGCTTAACCTTCACTGGACTAACCAGAAAAAGTGGCACCAGGACTAGGACTGGAGATGTGGATCATCATGCAAAGATTCAATTTTTTTTTTCTCATTGTGGTGACTATCAGTAATGGGTAGTAACCAGCCCATGTCTACAGCATTTACGTGATGTAAATCCATGAGCACAGGCATTTGTCTTGAACACACTAGTATGACCACTGAATGAAGGAAACAAGTGAAAGAGACTATTTAGATTAGTGTCATTCATGAATATTTTTAAACTAATTATGATTTATTTTTTTCAGGATTTGGGTAATTTCTCATTATGCTATTTAAGACTGATGCACTTTCTAAACAGATTTCTCATTACACATTACATGGACTTGACAAAAGATCTCACTGCTTTTGGAAAAGAGAGTAGTTTGTCTCCTTGACATTCCAGACCTGCAGCCAGGCAGAAAACTCTGAACCTTGCTGTAAGCCCAAGAACTTTATTTGTGTTTTTGTGAAGGCAAGTGAGCAAATCTCTTATACGCTTTTTTTAAACTGCAATCCCCTCCAGAGTTTGGCATTTGCTCCAGCTAGGACTTGTCATCATGTTCCATCAGGTACTTTCTGCTCCTGTCAAAATGTCCCCAAATGTTCACTCATCTTTAATCACAATAAATTGGTCTCATACTTAATTGATTTTACAAACTAAGATATCTCTCTGAATAATGAACTACCATCCAGAAGGACACTGTCAAAAATAAGCCAAGTGCTTTCCAAGTTGTGGCTCTCAACTGTTTTATTAAGGGTATAAATTCTTAGTTTAGGAAGAGAGAAAATTTTGTTTAAAAAAACCCAAACAATTAGGTATGCTTCTATAATGCAATTGGAAAAGCAAACAAAATCTTTACATCAGTAAGTTAAGGCTAAGATTTTCTAACACAGCAGGTTTGGTCTGGTGTTCCTTGATGGTGGCTACAGAATTTTGTTTCAGAAACAGCACTAAGATATGATGTTCCTCTAGCCCCTTTATTTTACCAGATTCTGACTGGGCGAACAATAATCCCTGTCAGCTGCAAAGTAAGAAAGTAATATTGTGTTTCCAGTTGAATGATTCAATACTCTGCAGAGTGGGGACCACAGTAATGTCACACATTAACACATACAGGGAGCTAGACTGCAGTAATTTGTTTCACTTTTTTACCAAGGACAGTTTGGGACAGTTAGATTTATGAAGCCATAATAAAATACTGACCATGTCAGTGGTAGAATTACATTCATTTCACTTTCTTGCTCTTTCTCCCTTACTTATCTTTAGTGCTGTTCAAAATACCTTCCTATGTATCTGCACAGAGATGTAAAATAAATATATTGACTTAAATGAATGATTTAAAATGTAATTTATAATACTCCCATAATTTCAAATGATAATAATGTGTTTCCTCAGAGACTTTACTCAAGTAAAGAATAAATGATAGAGTCCTTATATTTTCCCTCTCCTTCCAGAAATTTTCAGTAGCTTACTTCAAAAAGCCCAGTTTTGTCATACAGTGGGATATTCTTACTATTCCTGCTATATACCTATAACTATACCCTGTTCCTTCCTGAATTCCCGGCCCTTCTGTTTTGCTTCCTTTAGTATTGCAATGCCCACCCACTGTAGGTGAGAATTTGCTGTCTTCTGACTGAAGAGCATTGATATCAGACAAGCAGAGCAATGTGGTGTCCTTTCTGCAAGAATGTGCTCATCCTGGCATTTCTGCCAGCACAGAAATTGCAGTCCTGACCTCTCTATTACAGAGCTGCACACACTTTCAATTGTCTTCCATAAGGGAGAGGAAAACAGCAGCTGTGCCCCACAAGGGATGGTGTGTATCCCAGTGTGGAACAGCTGTTCCCTGACCATGCCCACTTTCTGTGGCATAAACCTGTGATGGCAGATCTACCCCACTTGAATTTAAGCCTATAGGGGTAATAAGTGCTCCATCTTGCTGAGCCTGCTTTCTGAGCAGGAGTTCTCCTTCAGATGGAGGGAAAGCAATAATGCACAGCCTGATTCAAGGGAAGGGATGCCTTTGGCTCATAGCTGTGCTACTGCATATGCCACCTCCACCTGAGGAGGGTGAAGAAATTGTCTCTGCTTTCACCTGGGGCTCAGTATTGTGTGCCTCTTTATTCAGGTTCCTGAGCTCTCCCACAGCTGGGACATCAGCTGGCTGCAGAGCTGGGCTATCACAGCTACCATCATCTTCTCTCCTGGGCTGTTACCAAATCTGGAGGTGATGGAGGTGGCTCTATTAGCTATGGGGTGCACTTCACTGGAAGAAAGTTCAGATGCACATGAATATCTGAGCCTGGCATTAGAGGTGCAAAAGCAGGTATTTTTTACATGATGGGATCTCATGACACTTCTGAATCATGACAGGGAAATCCATCTTCCTCAACCCAAACCAATAGCAATGCATATATTTTTGGCACATTCAGAATGGGAAAGGGTGCTCCAGGGCCAAGTACAAGAGTATTTGGTGCCTAAGAGAAGAAAGGCTGAGGAGATTCATCATGGAAAACTCTGACTTGCTTCTGGCAAGACTGATGATATTTTTTGCACAAAGAAAAATTAATGGATCTGTCTGAGTTCAGAATGAATTAGAAGAGAGATACAAACATTCGGAGAACTTTTCAAATGTCTTCAGTAGTTTAGAAGGCAATGCACACTTTGTCCATGTTGTCTCAGACTATTACTCCATCTCTGCTGCTGGACTGTGGCTAGAGAAATATCTAAGCACTGCTTTATTAAGTACAGACATAAAGATGATTGGGTTTTCTGCTTTCCATCAGTGCTGTAGGAAAGAGTTAGAGGTTTGTACTTCTATAGTAATCTGCTGAATAATTTCATTCAGCTTTTGACATTATTTGGTTTGTCATCATCCTAGATACAGATTTCTGTTTCTTCTGAATATCTCACTTTGGGGGAGACAGAAGATTCCTGTTTATTCTGTGCAAACTCTTCAATTTGAAGGAAAACTCTCTCAATTCTGTATCATTTTTTCATATTTCACCTGTGAAGCCACTGACACATATCCTATTTTTTAAATATACTTTTGAAGTGTTTTGTGACTGTTTCCTTTAATTGTACCTTCACTTTTTGTCCTTTGCCTCTCAGCATTCATGTCAAGAACTGGTGGAAGAGTCCCCAAGAAAAGCCAGCCACAGACTAACTAGCTAAAGGAGGCTTTAATTCTTCTCCCATAAGTTTTTTCACCTCCTTTAAATATCAAATGCAGTAGAGTTCAACAATGGACAGAAACAAAATGGTGTTGAGGCTTTTTGTAATTGCTGGGATGAAAAAGAACCGTTGGTCTCCATTAAGAGACCAGCTGGAAATGCAGCTTTGGACTTGGGACATGTCCTGCCCCTGTTCTTGACAGACCCTTACTCTTGGATGTGGGAGAGGGGGGACACAGAGTAACTTTCTGGGGACTCTCTCATCTCTGGGAGATCCACAGGAGGTTTCTGTGAAGAGAATTTTAACACTGCTCCTTCCTTTACAACTGGTCCACAGCTCAAAACAAACAAAGCCCAGCTGTTACCTCTTGAAATATTATGTGTTCTAAAAATATATAGATGTGTGATGACAGTGAGATGAAGCTTTGATTGAATATGAATACATTGCCTGTGATTCACCTAGCTGAAAAAAATATTTATTAAATTTTAAATGCAAGAAGCAGAGATTCAATCTGTTACAGAAACAGTGAAAGTCAGAAAGGAATGGCAAATGTCATAACCTCACCTATAAAATGAGGTTGCATTCCCTTCAAAATGAGGCATCCTGCTCTGGAAAATTGTATTCAGACAACATTCATGCTTAAACATGAAAAGATTTTATTTCATGGTATTTCTAGGCATAATTCTTTTTTTACGTACAGATCACCTGAATTTTCACTAGTTTCATCTATGCTACCATGATGTTATGTTCTGAAGGCTTGAAAAGGTCTCTTCCAATTATACCTGACAGGTTTTGGGCATCTGAGAAAGAGCACTCCAGTCCTGTGGCTTCAGAAAGCTGCACAGCTCCATCCCTCCAGGCAGGTGTTTCTGCTCTTTCCAGCTGAACTGAAGACAGATGGAATTTGACAGTGTTTCCCCTTCAGTTGCTTCCAAAGGAAAATTAGCTAGCTTTGTCTTTTGGTTCATGTAGTCACAAATGACAAACAATTGACAGCCAAAGGTATTTTCCCACACTAAATCCACAGATCTGACAGAAAACACGACTGAAACCAAAGCAATAATAAGGAAATAAATTCCCATGGGCCTGTGAAATTAGAGTGCTTTGTAAAAATGACTGCATTTTTTATCTGTGTCATTAACGGCAGATGCAAAGCTAATAATGGTATTGGTACAAAAGATGAAGTTAATAATAGGGAGCCCACAGGGCCTTTTTGCTAATATTGCTGTGCCACAGCTATGTTCGAGCTAGACAAGAAAAGAGATTAATTCCAACTGTACAAATGGTGAGTTCAAAAAGCTGTAGCATGGGAATGAAATGAGTGAGTTCTACAAAGTTCTTCCTGCAGCATGTCCAGCCTTTTTTAAGGACTCTATGGATTTGTAGTAAGAAGGTCACAAAGGAAAATGTTACATAAATGAATTTGCAAACTCAAAGAAAATTAGTAATACTACTGCGTCTAAGAAATTCACTACTTGGCATGTCTATATTAAATAGTCTCAGCCTATAGTAGTGTAATGTGATGGAAAAGAAATATTCAGGCTGAAGTGAGAGACTGCTAATATAACCTTCATGCTGGCCTTTCCTTTGCCAAGTGTCCAGTAACAATTTCTGCTCTCTGCAGCACAGAATAACGAAACTCTTGCAAACTTTCTCTCCTGACCTCAAACAATGAAGAAAGTAAATTTTGCATTCTCCTGAGTTTGGGAGCATGTCAAATCTATTTACTAGTGTCCCATTGTATTTCTTGCTATTATTTTAGTCCACATCAAAGGAAAATAGCAGCTCAGTCTTATTATTCCAAATGTCTATTGAACTAAGGTCCTTAGGGACAAACCTTGCAAGGTTTTGTTTTCTGAGGTCTATGGGTAGATCTCAGATTTAGGATAGCATGCAACTTTCCAAGAGGATTTTAATGTGATAATACCTGAGCATACAACTATTGAGAAGAAAACACTCTAAAAATTACTATCCAAAAATTAAAAACACTTAACGCTTGCTGGGTGTTTTTTCCATCCAATTTACCTTTTTTTAAAAAAAAACTCTAAGTTCAAAAGAGAGAAAGAGAAAAATCTGGGGTTTTTCACTCTCTTTTTCACAAGAGAGTGAAAAAAGCAGATGGTTATACAGCAGAATTTCTGTTCCTGTGTATACAGTGATTTATGATGTGCTCATCAGTACCTCTGTGGGATACATGAAAAGATCCAGTCAGAACAGGACTGATAGCTTCCTGCTCATGTTACTTCACATTTCAGGAACTCCACTGAGTCTCCTGAAGTCACAGCAGATTTTACAGACCTTCAGCAAAGAAAATGGAACCCCTGTAGGCAGTTACAAAGGTTTTCGTCTTTGTCAGAAATTGAGGAGTTAATAAGGTGCAAAAAAACTCTATTACCAACTTTCTGCAGATCTAAATATCATTAGCACTTCACTAAATGGATGGTTTCTTGCTGGATTGCAAAAAGATAATTCCTTTAAAAGAGCCTTTTTTGCCCACCCCTTTCACATACTGTGCAATACATACTGGCTATGCAGTAAGATCATTACAAAGGTAATTTCTTTCTGCAGCATTATAAAAATTTTATTGGATCGATAGCTGCTGAAGTATTGAAAGCAGTCATAAATTTTTATGGCATTAACAGAATTCAGTAATTTGTCACTCAACTGGATCCAAATGAACAAGGTCTATGAAACTATTTGACAGTTGCAAAAGCTATTGAAATAATGCAGGTAATATGGAAAAAAAACAGTTGGGTAGGTTTGTCTCAAACCATAATTTGTACATCGATAAAATCAGAAAATAGCTTTCTGCAAAAGACTGACAGACTTGGTTCCTGGCTGCCACATTACCCCGTGGCCTGTGAGTTGAGCTCTAGCAAATATGCTTTACTACTGAATGAAACACAAAAGTCTCTGCTCCCTTGGAAACACAGATCCTTAAACTCCTTTAGCCTTGCAAAAAATGAAAGTATTGACCATCAAGTAAATTATTTCTATTTCTCTGGAAAAAGCTATGAGAAAAAAATATCGGACAGTTCTTCCCACAGATTGCTTCATGGGGGTTATTTTGAGCTACCCATTAACTTCTGAGCCATTTTCATCTATATGATTTACCAATCAGCCATGAAACTGTGTAAAATGAGATATCTTGTATTTATCTTAAATTGCTTACCTTTGGCTCTACAACATTTTCCTTTAGGTCATTTTATTCCTTTATTCAGTTGCTCTTTTTTTGCTATTTGTTATTGGTTTTTGTAATAACAAAATCTGATATGACAACAAAGAAGTAAGAATAATTTTTAAAAAGACCCTTCACCAAAATCCAACTAAATTATTCAAGTAAAGTTTATGGTTTGTTTTGGGTTTTTTTCCTCTACCTAAGTAAATATATTTTTAAATAGAAGACAACTACGACACTTCTTCATCTTTAAAAAAGCCACAAAGTATTTCCAGATTAGTTAGTATAATTTTTATTAAGATTTTGGAAGCAACTCTATTTTTTAACATGATGATATCTCTTCAGGCCTTTGCTACACTTCAAGCCTTTTGTTTCACTGACAGGATAGAGACCAGGAGGAAACACGACTGAACACAAAATGTTTTATGAGGAGGTTTTGCAGAAGAGAACGTATGTGGCCCGAAGTTTAGAATCCGACTAGCTGAGGGCGAAAGGCCGACGCCCCTCTGCAATTCCTGGCCAGCACCCTTCGGCGTCTGATGGCCTCGGGCTGTGCTGGCTGCGGACTGGCGTACCTCGCTGGTATAGGAGAGGAACGGAGCTGACCAT